CTTTGTTAGCTTACATATGTAGGAATGAATTTCTGCTGGTGTTGGCTCCAAGTGAGTCACAGATAACTGCACAAAGATAGCTGTGAAAGCAGTAGGAGGTTTTGGTACTATCATGCTCAGAGAGAGTGAACATTCCTGCTGGTTGAGCACAAAAGGTAAGAAAAAAGCATAGGATTCTTCTGAGGAAAATTTTGTGTTTCCTGGCTAACCTTAGCTGCTTTTTAAAACATGAATAGCTAACAATTTGAAAGGCAATTAAGTAGATCACAGGGGAAAACAGCCCTTCCAATTTACTTTGAACTGTAAATGGTGCTCCAAATCCCCCCACTTCTCTTGTGTGGTTAGAGGCAGAATCCCCCAGCTCCCATGGCTAAGCACTAGATTTCACTCTCATGGGAGGCTGTCAGAGATACTTGGCTGACATCATTATAGGCTTATTAAGGACAATGGCATTTGTAGCATAAGCGTGTAATTACTGATATTAATGGAATCGTGGCTTAAAGTCTAATCTGTTTGGGGAATTTAAAAGGCCACTAACATTCCCTCTCAGTAATTTCCCTATTTATTTCAAAGTGCAGATGTCTCCTAGTATTAAAGCTTGCCAACTACATTTAATGGCAGTGCACATACAATATCTTGCAGTATATTGCAGTAAAAAATGGATATTAAAATTTAATTCTGATTATTACATGTTAGAACAGGGGTAATGCTGGCCCTATGGAAATCAATGGCAAAGCCATTACCAACTTGAATAGATCCAGAATTTCACTTTGCAGATCTGCTTCAGTTCTATGGTACATAAACCATAGAGCTTCAGATAAATATTTTATTTGAAGATGTGAATTTCTGCTCTTAAAAGTCAACATCTGAAATGGACATTTAAGGATTTCTCAAGTTCTGCAAACAAGCTTTTACAGAAGTGATTAAATCAAATTGAAATGAGAGGTTTTTTTCTTTCTTTGTCAGTATCTTTCTCACACACACAGTGTGTTAGAAATAAAATACCTAATTTGTGTTCTGCTTTTGTTAGTAAGAAGCTTGTGTCATGTTAATTGTATTTTGGGTGGTACGTTATTTACAGGCAGCTAAAGATTGTAGTGTGTTGAAAAGAAGAGGAGACCCTGCATTTCCAGTGGCTAAGAGACACATACATAGCAGCCATGGTCTCAGAGCAGTTCTGTATTGTATCCGCTTCTTAGAAAAGCAGATGAAGCTCAGGTAGTAGCAGTGATGTCCCCAGTGTTAAAACAGGTGTGACAGAAAAGCAAAGCAATGGCAGTCATTTCAGGTGTCATCTGACCTTGCTCTTCTTACCAGTTCTCTGTTCTCTCATCAGGTAGCTGCTGTGAAGGACCAAAGCATTGCTGCTGCATGATGTTGCTTGGCAGAAATGCTTGTGGCAGTACTTTGCTGTGCTACAAACATAGTTTTGGAAATAGTTTGAACTTATTCAGGGAATGTAAGCAAGACAGGTTCCAGTTCTCGGCAGATTTGATGCCACATGTGTCCTGCAGGCAAAGATGAATTGTAGCAAGTTAGCTTCAGATGATGTTTCATATCTAGTTCAGTTCTAGCATATTTTTCTCCTATTTTATTACATTTATCAATGCGTGTTTTGCCACTGAACTTGTAGTTTTCTTCTCTGGACTTTGTTTGGGGATTTCTGTGGATAAAGTTGTATCATTTGGTCTCCCATTCAGATAAAATGCAAGGATGAGACTTTTGAGCATTGCTGCTTCTGAAGACAAAGCATTTTATTTGTATATTTGCGTCTTGTGAGTTTGCAGCTGCTTGCAAGTTAAAATGCAGGTTTTTGAAAGATTTTAAAAGCTCCCATGTATCCCATGAAACCTAACCTAAGCTATTGAGAGGGAAATGGCTTTACCATAAGAATTTAAGATCTTGTCCTGTATAGCGTATGAACAGAGTGAATTATATGTACTGAAAGACCTGAAGCTAAGGACATAGTATCCATAATAAAACTGTTAGGCACTTTCAAAACAAAGGTCACCCTTTAGCCTGTCTTCTCTGTGGAGCTGACCCTTGCCTCTGGAAAAAATATGAGAAGGAAAGCAGTGTGCGTGGTTGCGCTTCATCATGCCCTGAGTCTCACGAGCAAGCCACTGTCAAATTAGAGCTGCAGTTGACTTTCAAATTTGAAAATCTTTTATGAAAACCTCCTGTTTCCATTTAAATATCACTAATGAAAATGAATCCTGCCTGCTACGTGATTTGCTACCAGTTCTCTTGGCTAAACTGTGCATTCTCTCCGTGTCAGATAGAATGTTCTCCCTCATGTTCTCCTCCCAAAGCTCTGGTATCTGTCTGAAAATGCAAAATGAACTTTGCTTCTGGCCTTTCTTGCTGTCATCCTCCCTAGCATGGAATATTTCTGGTAGGCATGGTGTAAGGGAGAGCTGACTGCAAAATGTGATGGGAAGAAGAGGGTTCTCTGTGGTCTTCTGAGTACTCAGCTGGGAAATGTTGCTTTTCATAGCAGCTTAGGACTGTTGCTCAATCTAAAAGTCTTCAGAATGAAATGTAATAATCTGAAATTAATGGTAGTGTATAGTGTACAAATGGCCCTACTTTAATCCTGGGATTATGGAAATGCACACTTAAGAAAGCAACTCCAAGTTTTAAGTAACAGCTCAGAATGGCATTTCTTCTATGTTTGTTGATAAAGACCAGTGATTTCTTAGAAAGCATTTCTTTCAGAGCCTTATGGGGTTTTCCAACAGAGCCTCCAGTGGTTCCTTATTTATCACTGCTGTTACTCTGCAATGTCTGGAAGTTTTGTCCTGCCTTGAGAGCATGCTCTCAATGGTACAGAAACAAGAGCCATGCTTTGTAGGGCTGGCATCCAGGAAAGTCGGCTGAAGCAGACAGAAGAGCAGGAGCCAGGCAGTGAGGCACCTTGGATTTACGGAGCAGACAGCAAAGAGGAGCAGCCAGCAAGTACCAGCTGCACTGTAGCCTCTTCCGGGCAGCAGCTGTTTGGCTCAGCCCGATGCAAACAGTGGTTAGGAGGACCAGAACAAGAATGCAAAAGCGTTCCCGAGGAGGGAGGTAATGCCTGTCGCATCAAGTGTGGTTTTGTTTCATTTGGAAGTGCCTGTTGTGTTGTTAGCACTCCAAGACGTTTTGGATGCAAAGCCTTCGTCACTCTGATTTTTATCTCCTCGGAGTCCCTTTGAATCCTGCTGTCCTCAAATAAAATTGAGAATAAATGTGGTGTTGAGGACATATGTGTAAGCACAGACAGAGAGTCACTTGAACATGTCTGGCGTGGACCAAGAGGCACTCTTGACTTTTGTGTGCATAGTCTCGAGTCGTTTGTCTTCGGTACGGTTGCTGGAACTTCATGAAACATATTAGTGCTGTCACTGAACTTCTTTCAGCCTTATATGTCCTGGGCCTAACTAATACTTTGTTATTTTTAAACTAGTGTTTGGAAGGACAACATACACTGTAGATAATTACAGTGAAAATAGAACGTACTGCAGAAATCATCTCCAAAACCCAAACTGGTTGCAGACAGATGTGACCAGTAATAGCATACATTCATTCAAAATCTGCTGTATGCTTGACAGACAAAGAGTTGTGGGCAAGAAATAGAGGAAGATTGTTGGTTTTGGAAAGCCCCTGTAAAATACCCACTGCTTGTGAAATAGATGTGGAGATAGAATAGAGAAATAGAACTGGGAAGTATGGGAGGAAGAGTGGTTATGAAGTGGGAATTGTCTCAGTGCAGGAACGTGACAGCAGTGTCTCACTTAGGAGGAGTGGAGAACAGGTACTTGCCTACAATAAAGTCTGCAGGAAAGTGAGATTGTCTACAGACAAGTGAAGGGCTTCGAAGTACAGCACGCAATGGAAATGCAGCTCTGAAGCAGTCTCTCTTCAGGAAAGAAACCAAATTTAGTAATATTTTAATAACGCCAGATAGTAATGCTTTTTTTCTTCAATGGTAGCACTGTGTTCTTTGAAACAAATTCAGCTGGGATTATTCAGAGCAGTTCCCAGAAGGGAATGATAGACTCCTGTTATGATCTGTAGCAGTACTTAATTATAGAATTGATGCTGGCTGAGTCCTATCTACATGAAGACATAAATAGTACCTTCAACTCCGTAGCTGCAGTAACCAGTAAGGCTTTAACTTAGTGTATGGTAGGAATGAGTTCTTGGATGAAAAAATGACCTTCCTGATTTTTCACACAACTTCATTGACGGTATATGCAGAGAGCACCTTGAAATACACCTCCTTATTTTCTTATTTCAACTTCATGCTTTCACAGCTTCAGAGTACTTAATTTTTTTTTCTGGTTGTTTTCACTTTTTGTCTGGCAGCCCTACATGGAGTCTTTATGAAAATACAGTGTGCATCATTCAGGCGTTCTTGGTTTCCCTAAGCAGTGTATGTGTACACAACACAAATCCTACTTCTAGCAAATGTTAATCGTGATTATAGTCTTACATCTGAGATCATTATTTAAAGTCTCACAAACACATTTAGAGTTAATTCTGGTCAGATGGAGTTATTTGCTTCCAGTTGGAGTTAATCCTTTTGCCAGATTTTTAGCTGGACAACACACAAAGCTTATTTTCTGAATTAAGAGCCCAGGTGCTATTATGAGTGTGCACAGATTATCACCAGCTCCCACTGGACCAAACGGAACTCCTGAGCCTTCCAGGTTTTATTTTTAAATCAGTTACTCCTAGGGTAGGAGGCATGATAAAATGAGCAGTACATTTTTATTTTTAAACTGTTTTAAAACTTAGTAACTGTCTTTAAAACTGAGACTGAAAAGTAAAAGTTGTTCTGTGCTTCTGAGGCTCTTGGTTGCTTGTAGTCTACCTACTGGGATGGAAAGGCAGGCTGCAAAAGTCTGCTTTGTTCTCATAAAGGGATAAGAAAAGGGATTAGAGAACTCTTTGGCACCTCAATCTCCTTTCTGAGAGTCCTAGAAAGCAGTTGGCCCTATTCTCTGAATGCAGTCTTTTTTCCTTCACTTGTTTTTATCCAAGCATCAGGATAGGCCTGTTCCAGAAGTGTATCCATGTAGCTAGAAGTTTTGTCGGAGAATCCTGTATGGATACGTTCTATCTTCATAGTAAGAGGGGCACACAAGCAACTCAGTGTCTGCACCATGAGAGCCCTGGGTGAAAATGGCTCATGTTAAATCACATGGGAGTTTGCCTAGCAAAGCTCTGCTGATCAAAGCTCCACTATCCACAGTAAAGTCAGGAGCGTCAGTTATCAGAGAGAGGCGTCTGATAAAACTGAAAAAGACCTCAAGCTGTACGCAGACCAAAAGCTGCCAAGGAAGGTGCACTGTCCATCTTCTCAAGTCCAGCCAGGCTTCTGCATATTAAACAGTACTCTCCTGTGAGGCTCTAGAAATGGACATTCCCAAGCTGTGCCTCATTGATGGTTCCTTCCCTGAAGCCTTGGCCAGTGCTGAGTTTCCTGGGCTGAGTCACTTGTTAGCATTTGGGAGGCACTGTTTGAACTTGCCAGGGAATCCGTGCGTAGCTCTCCTCCTTTCTAAGAACAGTCCTGAGTGCTTGAACCTGGAGTTCGATCAGGAGCTAATCCCTGGGCAGGTGATTGCTGAAAACAGGGTTGGAAAAGAGCCATTTCACTGTCTCTGGCTGTCTGGAGCCAACATCTCTAGAAGGGTGGCTCCTTAACATTAGGAAAATACATCATGGGCTTCTCTTTGCTTTTGCTAAACCATGTGTTTGGTATGTGCTTACCAGCTGTAACTCTCCAGCAGGCAACCAAGGTGCTGCATACAGTGTAGGTAAGAATTTTCCTCAATTCCCAAGCCAACATAGAGAAATATGGATAAAAAATGAAAAGGAACATAAAGGTGGTGATGTTTGTGGAAAAACTGGGCAGATGTAACACTCTAATTTGTGTAAAATCCTAAGGTAGTTAATTGTGGCTCTAGGAGAATAATAGTAAAAAAAAATCGTAAAGAATTATATTTGCAGATGCAGAAAGGAACCATTTACATTCAGACAGAACACAGAGGTAATACTGCAGGTGCTGAAAATGGAGCATTAGCTCAGTTAGGAAGTCTCTGGCAGCCTTGTGACAGGGTACATCTGTATAAGTGTCATGTTGGTTTGTGTCTGTTTGTTGTGACAGTCCAGGACAGGAGTTACCTACAGCATGTCATTTGTTAAGAGGTTAAAACAAACATGTAAAAAGTATATGTAATTCTTTCTTGTTATCTTGCATGTGCAGGTCTGAAAGCAGGAAATGAAAGCAGAAAAGTTAACATGTAGACTTTTTCACAAAGAACGGTCTGATATCCCATATGTTGTCAAATAATCAGCATTTGACTCCTTCCAGCAGCCTTGTTCCTTTGCCTGGGTGGGTATAATAACCATTACTGTTGTATAATCAATGAGAATTATATAAAGGAATATTATATAATCAAATAATATTAAGATGTTATAATAATGAAATAAGCAAGAGAGGCACAGCGAGACAAAGAGAATAAATAGGAGGCTTACCCATGTCATGGGCTCACTCAGGATGCTCCAGTGAAGTGTATCTTCTGAAGAGAGAGAGATCCTTCCCCACTGGTAGTCAGCTCATAAATGGGTCTAGGAGAGGTGGAGCCAGGCTCCACCCCTTCCTGCAGCACAGGTGAATTGCTTTTACCTGTGCTCCCAGGGCTGAGCCTCAGGTGATTAATCAGAGGTTCAGGCCATGACTCAGCAGTTCCCATATAACTGTCCATCATCCTCCTGCAAATTCAGGACCTTTTCACACAGCTCAAAACCAACTCCAGGTCTGAGTAGTTGATATAAAAACTTGCTTGTTGGCTTATAAAAGGTCCTGTAACTAACTTAATTCTCTGAGGAAATAGGAACCCAAGAATGAGATGGATCTGGGTTAAAAGGAATGAAAAAAAAAAAAGAACCAGAAGAAAAAACAACTCTGAATCTTAGCTGTGGCACTTCAACTTTTGTCTGATTTTGTTAGAAATCACCTTTACTTGCTTTTACACTTGCTCTGTTTGAAAGCATAGTACCAAAGCCTTGATGCATCTACTTTATGTTGTATGAAATCACACTATTGAATTCGACCCACTGACAGTAAGTTAACGTGTTCCTTGTCTGTATTTCCCTCCCAGCAGTGGCATGTGTAGTTTTTCTAGGGCTGTGTGCACTGTAGGTATGCTTGTAAACACATTTCTGTGTGATCATAGAAGTGGAGGGAAATGATCTGCAGCTCAGGGACTGCCTGAAGTTCACACTGCCTTTGTGCAGGTTCAGGGGTAGCTCTGCAGAGCCAGGAGTGGTTCAAAGGGCAAGGAGGAATGTAAGCAAAAGTGTGTGTGTCCACCAGAATGAAGCAGCATGAAGCTTTTACTGTTCTCTCTATCCCCTTGCATTGAAGGCCTGTTTAGTTAAATGTGAAACATTTATCACTGATAGAAATTGTGTGGGTATGGGTTGTGAAACTCAGCCAAAGGCAACTTAGAACCTCCAGAAGCTCTAGAATCACCAGGAAACTCAGTAGCCTCCTGGGGTGTACGTCAGATGATGCCAGTCACATTTAAGATACTTCATGTTCTCCACGCTTTTCCTGTTTTCTCCTACAGCTGGTGGTGTGGATCAGGAAAAAGCTGAGTAGATGATATATCTTGAATTAACTTCTGGCAGCAGTGCTGGTGGTATCCTGAACGGGGGGAGGACATGGTGATGTGGTTGAAAACACACTGAGCTGTCAAATTAACAAAATCTACATGCAGCATTGGTTCGGTTGTGTTATGTGAAACTCGAAGTATTTATTGCGTAAGGCTCTTCAAACTTCTTTGTGTCCTGTGCTGTCTGGTATTTTCATTGGTGAGTTGGGGTGATAGAATAGAGACTGTGTGTATTAAATCGGTTCATGACAAGCTGAATGGGTCTCCAGCTGTGCTTGAGGAGAGGATTGGAATGTAATGCCTTCAAGGTGCTCGGTAGTCCTCTGATACTTTGCAGGCGCTGTGGTGAGTCCATGATGCTCGGTCTTTTTGTGTAGAGTTAAAACTACTCTAGTAGTAAAAACGAGAAAAAGAGGATGGGATTCACACAGGAGCATGGTTCAGAGGTCTGTAGCTTTAGACATGCCTATGCAATTAACATTACCCACGTAGTCAGATCAGTTGTTTTGCCAGAGCACTCATCAACGCAGTGCCTAGGAGTTCACAGATGTACCTACTGATTCAGCCATCATTTCTTGAATCTTCATTCTGTGATCCAAATTTCAGTAGAGCCTTTCTTTGACCTGAAGGAAAAGCCCCTCCCAGTTTCTCCCACCTATCCCAAACACCTACTGCTACGTGGACTGAATTTCCTTCTGGGGGTGGCTCTCTCCTCCAGGTTCTAAAGGGAGCCTAGACAGCTCTGTCAGGCAGCTAAAGCTGGAAAAAATTAATCTCGCCCTAAGTGGGGAGATGAAAGGCTCCTATTTGCTTGAGCCATTATGTTTTAAATGTGGTTAAGAGTTGGCAAGTACTGATAGAAGCAAACATATTGCTCTCCAGGAAGAGCAGTACCCCGGAGACGTCAGGCCCAGTCTGCTATAGCTTGATGTCTTTTGAGTAGCGTGCAAAGAACTATCTCCCTACATATTTATCTTCCAAAAGCTGACCTTTCACTCTCTTTAATCTGATGCCCATGATGTGGCTCAGCCAGTTGCTGCAGCAGACAGGCACTTGGTCACAAGCACTGTCACGAGATGTGCAAGGAGTGCAACATTCCTGCACCACTTTACACCCCCCGGATCAGCCCCTGCTTATCCTTTTATCAGTCACACAATCCAAGTAAATTGTTGTCACAGGAGAGAGCTTTTTACATAACAGCTGTCTTGGCTGTGAAAGTTTTGGCCCCCACAGTGCCGTATGAGGCTTGTATGAATTCCCACTGCTGCTCAAAAGTTGAGGATGCCTTTCCTTCCCTGGCTAGGTGAGCTGCTTCCAGTAATACCAGTGAGAACGTGTGTCACTGCCAGAAGAGAGAATGCTGTTTCCGTAGTTGTGCGTGCTGCTGTGCATCCTTCTCTGAGCCATTTAATGTTCTCAGAAAAATAGCTCATGGAGAAGCTGAGCTGCTTTTCTGCTATTTATGGAAGACAGGGGACTTGCAGTTGTTTGACAGCTGCCAGAGGCTGGCAGAGGGAAGGCATGAGGGCTGAGGAAGGAAGAAGTAAGCCTTCCTCTTCTGGTGCCCATGAGAGGCTGGGCTGCTCAGCTCTCTGTTGGCTGTGCTCTGAAGTGCATTAATCAGGGGTGTCTGTAGGTAGATTGAGGGTGATTAAGGAAGAATGCCCAATGTCAGGCATCCAGATCCTTCTTGCCACCAAGTGTGAGTTAATTATGTAACTTATTTATGCCTGTAAGGGCTCCTTTCCATTGGATTATTTTCTTGTTTTGGTGTCAGGTTTTGTTTTGGGGGGAAAAGAAAGCTAATGTTTACAGACATTTTTCCCCTTATAAAATGAAATCTGTTTCTAGAACTGATTTACGTCTTCCTCAGCAACACTAGAAATTCAAACAGAGCAGGCATTTGGCAACAACTCTGGACTCAGAAGTGAGATTTAAAAGTGAAATTCAGCTACAGACTTGAGGAGGAGGAAGCTCGTCGGGCTGGGGTAAATGTAGGTCGAGCAAACTAACAGCCAAAAAAAATGAAAAGAAACTTCATCTTCACACTCTTGATTAAACTGAAGTAATTAGTAACAGAGGTGACAGCTTCTTTGACAATATTATAGTGAATACCTCTTTAATTAGAAGAAACTATGAATAGTTGATGAATCCTCAGCCATACAGATGTCCTGGGATCTGCAGAATGAGAAACATCTTTCCAACAAGCATTGGTAATGCGATCCACATTGCACAGTTTAAAACACTGCCATCAAATTTCAATTCAGCCCGATGCATCTTGATATTAAAACCTCCTTGTCTCTGAACTGACATTTTAAGAAAAACAAAAGGCAGCTTGAAATTGGAGCACCAGCCCTGGCCCCTGTGCCAGACCACCGTCCAGCCATCACGGCGTAGGAGCTTCGCCTGTCCCCGCTGCCAAGACGTACAGAGACCCACCCAAGTCTGAGCTGAAGTCATTGCAGAGCTCTGGGTAAATCTAGGGGATTCAAGGAAAAATGCAGCCTTGCTGCTCACTGGGAGGAGCGTTTGTTTCCTCGTTATCTAGCTGTGTTTCCTCCTGTATCTTTTCCACTGTCTATTTTTGTGGTTTTGAAAGCGGTGTCCCCATTGTTGGGAGTTATTTAAAGGCACGCTTTTATTCAGCTGTGCCAGAAGGTGGAAGGAGTGGGAGATCTATTGAAATAGATCTACGTAAATATATCACATATGCGCACATGACTGAAGATGTATCACATCTTCCTACCTGTGATATAATCCTCATTTCTTGTCGCTGCTGGGAGATGCTACCTCCATCTCAGTGAACAAGAATTATACTTCAGAGGTTAGGAAGTACCTCAGAATAGAAGGATTGTGATCAGGAGGAGATCTGCAGAGAGTTAACAATGAGAGTTGATCTTTCCAGAAAGGGAATTTTCAGTCCCTCTGATATATGTCTGTGTAGCCCATCTGCTTTGTTGCTGCTAATTTCCTGTAGATATGTTGGTCTCTCAGAAGCAGCATCTTCCTGATGATAGGTTAGAATCAGCATGCCACTGTCCGCTGCTGGACAGTCACAGGCAAACAGTAGCCAAGTGTGCCTTTCCTACAGGGAGAACAGAGAGGGGCACGCTGTGTTAACGAGATCTGAGTTTTTGCTGTTGGCTGGAACCTTCACAGAGCAGAAGTTTAATTTGTAGAACTGGGATGCTTTTAGGCAACTTTAGTTGCATCTATTTAATAATGATTTTGACCTAAAGTTAAATTTGGTTACTTCATTCTGTTCTCATTAGTCTTGAAAGCCATTCCTTATTCTTGCTATTCATTGTTGTTCTCAGTTCTTCTTTCCTCCTCCACGTGCATCATCAGTGGCTGAGATTTAAGATGCTGTTGGCCAAATGTTATTTTATCCCCTCAAATCATATGAGAATCCATTACCTGACTGTGAAAGACATACTCTTGGAAGAAACAAAAACATGGAAGGTAAATCCCATGCTAAGTTTTCAGCTCAATAACACATATGCTGACATTCAGTATTTGAGCTGAAGAAGTGTATAATCCCTTTGTGGAATATGATGGACTGAGTAACATGCTTTTTAGAAAAGCTGTTGCTGTTCATACGGGATGGAAGGAGAGAGTAATTTCAAACCAGGGGTAGATTTTGTGTCACATGTTCTAGGATAGAACACAACATAATCAAATGAATTGTCTTCATTTAAAAAAGGTTAAGGTTGTAACACAACTGGCCACTTGTTCTTGGTTGGGAAAACTAAAAGTTATTATTTAAAGTTCACTTACTTTCCTGAGTACCGGTATGTGTGGGCACATCTGCTGTGTAAGAAAGCATGTGATTTCTGCTTTCCAAGGAAATTCCTGCATGAAGAAAGGCTGTCACCAACATGAGTGAAGTTGGCTGTGACATATCTAATGGGCTCCAAAGACCTCTAAGGATAGAGATCTCACCGCATCTCTGGACAAA